TGGGCCCCTATATACCGCCTCCTCATGCTGCTGCCAGGTCCAGAGTCTGTCATGGGTCCCTGTACGGCCTCCCATTGCTGCTGTCTCCATCGCCACACTCTGCCATGTGCCACTTTCAGGTCTCCTCACACACATGCTGGTGTGTTGAATTTTTTGACATAGGGTGCTGGCAGATTACGGGCCTCCCATAGCTGCTGCCAGGCCCTAATCTGCCATGGGCCCCTATACCGCCTCCTCATGCTGCTGCCAGGTCCAGAGTCTGCATGGGTCCCTGTACGGCCTCCCATTGCTGCTGTCTCCATCGCCACACTCTGCCATGTGCCACTTTCAGGTCTCCTCACACACTGCTGGTGTGTTGAATTTTTTGACATAGGGTGCTGGCAGATTACGGGCCTCCCATAGCTGCTGCCAGGCCCCTAATCTGCCATGGGCCCCTATACCGCCTCCTCATGCTGCTGCCAGGTCCAGAGTCTCTCATGGGTCCCTGTACGGCCTCCCATTGCTGCTGTCTCCATCGCCACACTCTGCCATGTGCCACTTTCAGGTCTCCTCACACACTGCTGGTGTGTTCAATTTTTTTTTGACATAGGGTGCTGGCAGATTACGGGCCTCCCATAGCTGCTGCCAGGCCCCTAATCTGCCATGGGCCCCTATATACCGCCTCCTCATGCTGCTGCTGCCAGGTCCAGAGTCTCTCATGGGTCCCTGTACGGCCTCCCATTGCTGCTGTCTCCATCGCCACACTCTGCCATGTGCCACTTTCAGGTCTCTCCTCACACACTGCTGGTGTGTTGAATTTTTTGACATAGGGTGCTGGCAGATTACGGGCCTCCCATAGCTGCTGCCAGGCCCCTAATCTGCCATGGGCCCCTATATACCGCCTCCTCATGCTGCTGCCAGGTCCAGAGTCTCTCATGGGTCCCTGTACGGCCTCCCATTGCTGCTGTCTCTCCATCGCCACACTCTGCTGCCATGTGCCACTTTCAGGTCTCCTCACACTGCTGGTGTGTTTGAATTTTTTGACATAGGGTGCTGGCAGATTACGGGCCTCCCATAGCTGCTGCCAGGCCCCTAATCTGCCATGGGCCCCTATATACCGCCTCCTCATGCTGCTGCCAGGTCCAGAGTCTCTCATGGGTCCCTGTACGGCCTCCCATTGCTGCTGTCTCCATCGCCACACTCTGCCATGTGCCACTTTCAGGTCTCCTCACACACTGCTGGTGTGTTGAATTTTTTGACATAGGGTGCTGGCAGATTACGGGCCTCCCATAGCTGCTGCCAGGCCCCTAATCTGCCATGGGCCCTATATATACCGCCTCCTCATGCTGCTGCCAGGTCCAGAGTCTCTCATGGGTCCCTGTACGGCCTCCCATTGCTGCTGTCTCCATCGCCACACTCTGCCATGTGCCACTTTCAGGTCTCCTCACACACTGCTGGTGTGTTGAATTTTTTGACATAGGGTGCTGGCAGATTACGGGCCTCCCATAGCTGCTGCCAGGGCCCCTAATCTGCCATGGGCCCCTATATACCGCCTCCTCATGCTGCTGCCAGGTCCAGAGAGTCTCTCATGGGTCCCTGTACGGCCTCTCCCATTGCTGCTGTCTCCATCGCCACACTCTGCCATGTGCCACTTTCAGGTCTCCTCACACACTGCTGGTGTGTTCCATTTTTTGACATAGGGTGCTGGCAGATTACGGGCCTCCCATAGCTGCTGCCAGGCCCCTAATCTGCCATGGGCCCCTATACCGCCTCTCCTCATGCTGCTGCCAGGTCCAGAGTCTCTCATGGGTCCCTGTACGGCCTCCCATTGCTGCTGTCTCCATCGCCACACTCTGCCATGTGCCACTTTCAGGTCTCCTCACACTGCTGGTGTGTTGAATTTTTTGACATAGGGTGCTGGCAGATTACGGGCCTCCCATAGCTGCTGCCAGGCCCCTAATCTGCCATGGGCCCCTATATACCGCCTCCTCATGCTGCTGCCAGGTCCAGAGTCTCTCATGGGTCCCTGTACGGCCTCCCATTGCTGCTGTCTCCATCGCCACACTCTGCCATGTGCCACTTTCAGGTCTCCTCACACACTGCTGGTGTGTTGAATTTTTTGACATAGGGTGCTGGCAGATTACGGGCCTCCCATAGCTGCTGCCAGGCCCCTAATCTGCCATGGGCCCCTATATACCGCCTCCTCCTCATGCTGCTGCCAAGTCCAGAGTCTCTCATGGGTCCCTGTACGGCCTCCCATTGCTGCTGTCTCCATCGCCACACTCTGCCATGTGCCACTTTCAGGTCTCCTCACACACTGCTGGTGTGTTGAATTTTTTGACATAGGGTGCTGGCAGATTACGGGCCTCCCATAGCTGCTGCCAGGCCCCTAATCTGCCATGGGCCCCCTATACCGCCTCCTCATGCTGCTGCTGAGTCTGTCAGGGTCCCTGTACGGCCTCCCAGTGCTGTCTCCATCGCCACACTCTGCCATGTGCCACTTTCAGGTCTCCTCACACTGCTGGTGTGTTGAATTTTTTGACATAGGGTGCTGGCAGATTACGGGCCTCCCATAGCTGCTGCCAGGCCCCTAATCTGCCATGGGCCCCTATACCGCCTCCTCATGCTGCTGCCAGTCCAGAGTCTCATGGGTCCCTGTACGGCCTCCCATTGCTGCTGTCTCCATCGCCACACTCTGCCATGTGCCACTTTCAGGTCTCCTCACACACTGCTGGTGTGTTGAATTTTTTGACATAGGGTGCTGGCAGATTACGGGCCTCCCATTGCTGCTGCCAGGCCCCTAATCTGCCATGGGCCCCCGTACCGACCTCATGCTGTGACGTTGCAACAAGGTGGAATTCAACCCTACATATGTTAGACCGCCCATTTGCGAACAGCAAAAGGCCATCACAGATTTCCTGATGTTAAAAGCGATAAAGGTACTCCCCCTGTGTAACTTAGATGTCAGCCATTGGCAGCTCATGCGTGACACCTGCGCTTGCTCAGGCCCTTTGCCAGGCCACGCTATTCGTGAGTCGGCAGGACTATGGGATGAACGACGTCATTCCTCTGTTGCACGTCCGGGAACTCCCATTGCTGTTAATAATGGCTGGTCAGGGTGCGGTAGACGTGGCGTGCCACAGATCTCAACGCCACATGACCCCTGTGGGGGCAGGACAGGAAGAAGAGGAGGAGGTAGAGGGGACATTGGTGCTCAGGAATTATTGAGTGAAATGGGTGGTTTTTCCACTCAGCGGACAGGAGTGGAGGTGCCAGGAGCATCTGGTAGAGGAGGAGGAAGAGGAGATTTTTTGGACCCAGACGCACCGTGGCAGTATGCTGTGGAGATGGAGGCAGGGAGTCCCTCGCATTCCTTGGCACAAATGGCCCATAGCATGCTCTCGCTTGCTTGCGTACCGACAGCCCCTGATAATAACCATCAGACAGAGGGGCTGACTTTTGGCTGTCCACACTTGTTGGACCCCCTCGCTACCGTTCCAAAATGGTGGCCTTTTTCACACCTGCTGAGAGGGAGGCCAAAATAACGTACTATAAAAAACCCCTATGTAGTCAGCTGGTCTCTGCCTGTCTGCGCCAACGTCCATCCTCAGACACTGTGGGGCCCTGTGCGCTCGCGTTCCGCTGCCATGGCAGCAGGGGTGTGTGGGGTGGTAGGAGCAGTGGCAGCTCCACAGCAGCAGCTGCCTCAGTCTGCAGTCGATGATGAGTAGCCCCTTCACCAGCGCAGTGAGGAAACTAATAACCAGCTCACCACCAGCCAGCAGCAGCTGCCAGCAGCAGCAGCAGCAGCATCAGATGGGGACCTGGAGCAGGACCTCAAACAACAGGCTTAGGCCTACTTGGACAGCACCCTGCCAACCGAGGTAGACACCCTTGACTACTGGGCAACGAAACTTGACCTTTGGCCCCAACTAGCTGAATTTGCCCTTGAAAGGCTGTCATGCATAGGTGCTGCCAGTAGGCGTGGCATCGGAGCCCCTGTTTCTGCGGGCAGGAGGGTATTGCAACTCCGCGGAGGAGACACGACTGTCCACCCAAAGTGTGGAGAGACTCACGTTTGTGAAAATGAATCCCGTGGATTAGTCTGGATTTCAAACCACCAGTTCCTGACACAACTGACTAAATCCGCCATGAATCATGCCCCAAACATGTGCCACTTTCAGGTCTCCTCACACTGCTGGTGTGTTCCATTTTTTGTCATAGGGTGCTGGCAGATTACGGGCCTCCCATAGCTGCTGCCAGGCCCCTAATCTGCCATGGGCCCCTATACCGCCTCCTCATGCTGCTGCTGCCAAGTCCAGAGTCTCTCATGGGTCCCTGTACGGCCTCCCATTGCTGCTGTCTCCCGCCACACTCTGCCATGTGCCACTTTCAGGTCTCCTCACACACTGCTGGTGTGTTGAATTTTTTGACATAGGGTGCTGGCAGATTACGGGCCTCCCATAGCTGCTGCCAGGCCCCTAATCTGCCATGGGCCCCTATACCGCCTCCTCATGCTGCTGCCAAGTCCAGAGTCTGTCATGGGTCCCTGTACGGCCTCCCATTGCTGCTGTCTCCATCGCCACACTCTGCCATGTGCCACTTTCAGGTCTCCTCACACTGCTGCTGGTGTGTTGAATTTTTTGACATAGGGTGCTGGCAGATTACGGGCCTCCCATAGCTGCTGCCAGGCCCCTAAATCTGCCATGGGCCCCTATACCGCCTCCTCATGCTGCTGCCAAGTCCAGAGTCTGTCATGGGTCCCTGTACGGCCTCCCATTGCTGCTGTCTCCATCGCCACACTCTGCCATGTGCCACTTTCAGGTCTCCTCACACTGCTGGTGTGTTGAATTTTTTGACATAGGGTGCTGGCAGATTACGGGCCTCCTATAGCTGCTGCCAGGCCCCTAATCTGCCATGGGCCCCTATACCGCCTCCTCATGCTGCTGCCAGGTCCAGAGTCTCTCATGGGTCCCTGTACGGCCTCCCATTGCTGCTGTCTCCATCGCCACACTCTGCCATGTGCCACTTTCAGGTCTCCTCACACACTGCTGGTGTGTTCAATTTTTTGTCATAGGGTGCTGGCAGATTACGGGCCTCCCATAGCTGCTGCCAGGCCCCTAATCTGCCATGGGCCCCTATACCGCCTCCTCATGCTGCTGCCAGGTCCAGAGTCTCTCATGGGTCCCTGTACGGCCTCCCATTGCTGCTGTCTCCATCGCCACACTCTGCCATGTGCCACTTTCAGGTCTCCTCACACACTGCTGGTGTGTTCCATTTTTTGTCATAGGGTGCTGGCAGATTACGGGCCTCCCATTGCTGCTGCCAGGCCTGTAATCTGCCATGGGCCCCCGTACCGCCTGGTCACGCTGCTGCTGGGTCCACAGTGTGACATGGGTCCCTGTACCGCCTCCCATTGCTCCCACTCTGCCATGTGCCACTTTCAGGTCTCCTCACACTCCTGCTGGTTTCCATTTTGTCATAGGTTGCTGGCAGATTACAGGCCTCCCATAGGTGCTGCCAGGCCCCAAATCTGCCATGGGCCCCCGTACCGCCTCGTCACGCTGCTGCTGGGTCCACAGTGTGACATGGGTCCCTGTACCGCCTCCCATTGCTCCCACTCTGCCATGTGCCACTTTGAGGTCTCCTCACACTCCTGCTGGTTTCCATTTTGTCATAGGTTGCTGTATGGCCTCCCATTGCTGCTGCCTCCACCGCCACACTGTGGCTCCAAACACTGGTTTTGGCCCCGTGACTGGCCAAATGAGTGAAGTGTGCGGTGATTCTAAGATCGTCCAAGGGCATTTAAATTAAAGGTACAGTGTTCTGCACTAATATTAAGTCTCTCTGAAGCCTAGAAACACCCTTTTTTAAGTTAAATTCACAGCGAATATATTCGACTCGAATCGAATATTGTCCACGAATTCGCCGAATCAGTAGTTATGGAGTGGCTGTTCAATGTGAAATCTTCAGTGGTATAAAAACATTCCCCTGGGGATTGAAAAACAGGCATGCAGGAGGTGGCAGTATCAGCTCCTAAATGTTCGTGAACTGGCTGTCAGCCAAGGTCTTGTTCAAAAAGTTTTATTGTTTTTAACAGTAATAAAGGGAAGCCATTTGGAAAGCATTGATTATTACTGAATAAGTATCATACAGTGATATCACTAGTGTTAATTAAAACAGTGGTTGAAATATTAAGAAATGAGACCGTAAGTTAAAAGGTATGCAAAAACAGCAAGGTGATGAGATCTTGGATCCTTACAGTGTCATTACAAACAAATAACACTGCTATGTATGTTAAACGGCTTGGACCTGAGTGGAAAACCAATACCAATAAATAAATATGAGGGTCAGAAGAGTAAAAGCATTCAAGTAAGTGAATAAAGAGTGACAAAAGTGGGCAGACCACTGGGTATTGAAAAACAGGCATGCAGGAGGGTGACAGTATCATCCCCAAATGTCTGTAAACCAGCTGTCAACTGAGGTTTTGTTTACAAAGGTTTATTGTTTTTAACAACAAAAAAGGCACTTGGAATGCATTGATCATTGCAGATTAAGTATCATACAGTGATATCACTAGTTTAAATTAAACAACAGTTGACCTATTAATAAATGAGACCATCCTAGATTGTAAGCTCGAAAGCGCAGGGCCCTCAATCCCCTCATGTTTTGCATTGTATTGGTATTGTTCTGTCACATGTTCTGTCCCCCTTTGTAATGTACAGCACTGAGCGAACTATTGGCGCTTTATAAATACTGTATAATAATAATAATAATAAGATAAAAGGTATGCGAAAACAGCAAAGTGATATGACCTTGGATCCCTACAGTGTCATTACAAGCAAGTAACACTGCTATTTATTTATTTATTTCAGGTACCTACAGTTATTATATATATATATATATATATATATATACAGTTGTGTTCAAAATAATAGCAGTCAGACATCACTAACCTGATCAATCACTGTTTTTGGTAGAAATGATATTTCTACATGGCAAATAATTTACTAGCAGGTGTAGTAGAGTAATAGAAATCCAACAGACCCAACAGTCATGACATGCATGCTGATGATTTTGTGTAATTGAATGACTAATTGAAAGGGGCATGTTCAAAATAATAGCAGTGTGGAGTTCTATTAGTGAGGTCATTCATTCTTTGAAAAACAGGTGGCAATTATTGCCCTTATTTAAGGAAGGAAGGCAGCAAATGTTGTACATGCTGGTTACAGTGCATTTCTCTCTGAAATTCTGAGGAAAATGGGTCGTTCCAGACATTGTTCAGAAGAACAGCGTACCTTGATTAAAAAGTTGATTGGAGAGGGGAAAACATATAAAGAAGTGCAGAAAATTATAGGCTGCTCAGCTAAATTGATCGCAAATCCTTTAAAATGGCAACCAAAACCTGAAAGATGTGGAAGAAAGCGAAAAACTACCTTTCAAATGGATAGAAGAATAGCCAAAATGGCAAGGACTTAGCCAACAATCAGCTCCAGGAAGATCAAAGAAGGTCTAAAGTTACCTGTGAGTACTGTTACAATGTGAAGCCAAGCTATCTGCAAGAAGCCCCCGCAAAGTCCCACTGTTGAAAAAAATACGTGCTGAAGAGGTTACAATTTGCGAAAGAGCACATTGGCTGGCCTAAAGAGAAATGGCGCAACATTTTGTGGACTGATGAAAGTAAGATTGTTCTTTTTGGGTCTAGTGGCCGGAGACAGTTTGTCAGACGACCCCCAAACACTGAATTCAAGCCACAGTACACTGTGAAGACAGTGAAGCATGCTGGTGCAAGCATCATGATATGGGGATGTTTCTCATACTACGGTGTTGGGCCTATTTATTGCATACCAGGGATCATGGATCAGTTTGAATACATCAGAACACTTGAAGAGGTCATGCTGCCTTATGCTGAAGAGGAAATGCCCTTGAAATGGGTGTTCCAACAAGACAACGACCTCAAACACACCAGTAAACGTGCAACATCTTGGTTCCAGACCAACCAGATTGACGTTATGGACTGGCCAGCCCAATCCCCGGATCTTAATCCAATAGAAAACTTGTGGGGTGACATCAAAAATGCAGTTTCTGAGGCAAAACCAAGAAATAGAGAAGAACTGTGGAATGTAGTCCAATCATCCTGGGCTGGAATACCTGTTCACAGGTGCCAGAAGTTGGTTGACTCCATGCAACACAGATGTACAGCAGTTCTCAGAAACAGTGCTTATACAACTAAATATTAATTAAGTGATTTAAAGGAAAGCAAAATCTTCAAACATTTTTCAGTTTATATAGTGAATGTTTGAGCTTGTAAAGAAGAATACAAACACTGTTATTTTTTTTAACAGTCTAATCACTTTTCTTCAATTTTTTGTAGAGGAACAACACAAATTTGATATATTTTTCTTCATGTTTTGATTTGGAATAGAATGTGTAGTGTTCCCAATGCATTTGTGTGTATGGAAATGAAAGCTATTAGAAGGATTTTGAGCTTCATTCACTTTTTTCAACACACTGCTATTATTTTGAACACAACTGTATATAGCGGCATCAATTTACGCAGCGCTTTACATATATATTGTACATTCACATCAGTCCCTAACCCTCAAGGGGTGTACAATCTAAGGTCCCTAACTCACATTCATACATAAACATACTAGGTACAATTTAGACAGGAGCCAATTAACCTACCAGCATGTCTTTGGAGTGTGGGAGGAAACCGGAGTACCCGGAGGAAACACACGCAGACACAGGTAGAACATGCAAACTCCAGGCAGATGGTGCCATGGTTGGGATTCGAACCAACGACCCTAATACTGCCATTTATGTGAAACTGCTTGGACTTGAGTGGAAAACCAAGTAAATATGAAATAATAAATATGAGGGTCAGAAGAGTAAAAGCATCCAAGCAAGTGCATAAAGAATGACAAAAGTGGGGTGGATTAGCATGTTACTGATCTCCATAGGGGTGAGAGATGATGGAGCTAAGACTGAACTCTCTAGAGGAGCAAAAGAGAATTGTTGAAATATGTGGGTAAGTAGTGAGGTATCCATAGCTGCCAAAATTTTCATATTTTGTGACTTTATCCGAAAAGAAAAGCTTAAATTTTAGCATGAACCATGGCCTGAGTGATTATATTTTTTGTCTCTTATGCTAAGGGGTAGGTGACTTTCAAGCCTTCACCATAGTCTGTCTAGATGCAGTGGTTGCCTGTAATAGTAGCTTAAATTACATTGAAATTAAGTTCCTACTTCTTGCCCTGCAAACACAATAGAAAATATGAAGAAAATTCTCATATTCTCAGAGGGAACATTTCCTCCTATTTGTCCCTGTGAAAGTGTTTCTCATTGAAAGACTTCCACTTGCTTCATGTTCCAGTGACAACTGCTATATTTTAGATTTCTCTACACACATTCTGTATTGGTGAAACTGGCAAGTACATATAGAGAGGTTCCTTTCTTTTAGGAAACACCAGAAATGTTAACTGTGCCCAAGCACTACCCTTTACCTTTTGTCCTAAAATCCTCCTGAAAACAGCAGTGCACTCCCTGTGCCTAGGCACTGCTCGTACCTGTAACCTCATAGCTGTATATGCTGCTCCTAACTGCTACTCTCACAGGATGTGAAATGAGATTTGGTAATGTCAAGACTGTGCTGTAAGGACCTCTCTACTTCATTCATCCTGTAGATCTGTGCATCTTCCACCTCTCCTGCCACTTTTTGATTCAATAGATAAACTGAAACACATCTGAGTTTGGTTTATGACAGGTTCAGCAAACATGACAAAAGTTTGGGTGTCGAATCAAAACCCTATTGAAGTCAATGGAAGCTGAAAGTTGAAAATTATTATGTACACTTCTTTTGTGAATGATTGAGGCTTTGCATATCTCATTAATTTCCATAAGGGTGCAGTATCTGAGTGCCCTTTTATTACAGATCCCGATAAGCCCCCACCATTAGAGCTCCACAACCACTGGGTCAGGGTTGTGGGAAAGGGGTTCTTGTCCTCAGTGACTTGGAGACAACTTGCTTGCCAGGGGAAACACCCATACGTTGAGGGCACATGGTCTGGTAGGGATCAGGGGGGGAGCTATACATGCTGTTATCCCCCCTCCCCCTTTCCTTTCCTGACAGGCTGCATGCTTGGATAAGTGTCTGATGTTGATTTTTTTAGGGGCCTCCTTTTACTCTACCTGGTAGGTTGGTAGAGGTGATAAGATCAGCTACAAGGAGCCTACATACAATGCTGGTGACAAGTACATTTCCTTCTGCTTGACCATTTTTGGGGGCACAGTTTTCCAAAGGATCCTTTTTAAAGAGTCCTGTAACTCTGACCATACAAACTGGAACTCACGGGATCACACAGGTGCCTATTTATCCAACCTGGAGTATATGTGACTCTTCAATGTGTTTGTCTTCAATTCACACCTACAATAACACCATAGTCTTTATTATTGTCATTTATAAAACTCTGCAGCATTGTGTTTGATATGCAAAGTGTGAAGTTGGGGCCCCTGGTGTCTCATACAATTTCACCTTAGAATCCAGCAAATTAAAAAACAAAGCCAGCAGGCTTTCAAAGCCACCGTTTTGGTTTGTTTGTTTAAGAAAATCCTTTTTTTTCTGTTTGTTGAGTTATTAAAAATGTGTTGCTTTCTTTTTTTAACTTTCAAGCATTAAACGCTCGAGAGCCATATTCACATTACAGCTGGAGGGCTATTAAGTCAGCATTCTGAATTAAGGGTAGGCAACCTTTTGAACCTAGTGTGCCAAAAAATGTTTGTAGGAAATTGAGAGT